TTTTTTTTTAAGTCCTAGTCACCATTCCCACTCAGCTTCACATTTCCTGATCCCAGGGGGATGAAAATAGCCTCTGGACTGGCCTTGTTCCTTTCTGCCACTCCCACGACAAATGACTAGAAGCCCTATTACACATAAGGGCTGGTGCCAAGTACTAAGGCATTTATGCAATCTGTGGGCAGATTAACCTTCCTGAAGCACTGCTTTGATCATAGCACTCCCCTGCTCTGAACACTTCAGCAGTTCTCCAATACTCTGGGTCTCTGCAATATTAACCCAAGCTACCATAACAGACTGATTTGCTTTCTTCCCACCCTTTTACATCATGTGCATTTCCTAACATATTCCGGCCTACATGGGGATGCCCACTCATCTCTTGACTTAAGTGAGCTGTAATTACTCAACAAACTATTGTTTTGCCTGGTCATTTTCCCTTCTGTCATTACAAAAATTCAAACATTCTAAATAGAGATGACTATACCTCAACCTCATAACCCCTCTCAAGTTAGAACTACTAATTCCCTTTGACAATCAGAATGAAACTGTGTTCTCAGAGAACAGAACCTACTCAGAGGAATTCTCAGATGTGATAAAGAGTGGAAGAAGGTGTGTGATAATGTAACTAGTAGTGTCCACGCCTCTGTAGTACAAACCAAGCCTAGAGATCAGTTGAATCTAAAGACAAATAAGCAGGATGGTTCAGAGAACCAAGAATCTCAGAATTTGGGTGAACAAGTACTAACATTTAGTGTTACTATCAAATGCCCTCAAAGTATTTCTGGGATTCTACTAACATCTCAAACTCAGCAAGATACTACTCCCTTGTCAGTTACAAGAACCATGATCCCAAAAATGCTTCTGAAATAATTCACAATGGAAAAACATCAGTTTTGGGGAACAGATTGTGAGGACAGAAAGTTTAAATAAATAAATAAAAGAAAAACGTATAGTTTTAAGGGAAATAATGGGCTGGGAGAACCCAGGAAATTCACAAAAATTTCCTTCCACTGTTTGAAATAAAACATTATCATCCTAGAAGAAGGTAATCATAAATAAAAAATATAATAAAGCAATAAAAGTTAACAGGTATAGCAATAGCATTTTCTCTATCTTAATTAGGGATCATGGATATAATTTATTTGTTTTATATCTTTTGATGCTTAGACACTTCCATGATCTCCCTCTTGGGCAAGTTAACAGGATTCTTACATATTCACTTTACTTTTTGCAGCTAATATGCATACAAAAATCACTTTTCTGCTTTTGGTCTCTCAAAACCTCAATGCCTGTTAATTCTATGACTCGACTCTAATTCTTCTCACTAAGTCATGCTCAGACAACCAAATTTTATTATACATGGTAGAAGGAATTCTTACGCTGCAGGAAAGGCAAACAAAGGCAAATCTGTCTATAACAATTCTTCTTGGATGGAAATTAGAACTGGTGAAAACTTATATTTAAAGCCTAATTAATATCTTCTCTCTTAAGCTACATTTCTTTCCTAATTTTCCCCCCATGTTGTTCACTGTTAGCCATCATTTCTCCAAATATCTCATTTTCAAATCTGGAGTCATAATTCACTTCTCTGACTACATCAGCCCTTAAATTCATCTCAAAGCCAGTAACTCTTAAATTTATCACTTCCTCTTTATCCTCACGGCTACCA